ATGACTTGTCTATATGTTGGTTTACCTTATCTGACGTTATCTGTCAGCTATATGTCAGATGTGTGGATTTTAAGCCCGCTTGTTTGTGCGACTGTTAATCCACGTTATTAACGTAATATAATGGTGTGTGTTAGCTGTAAAGTAAAACAAAAACATCAATTACAATCAGAAAGAGGAGAATTGGGGTCAATATTTAATTAAATAAAACATTAAAATCCGAGAAAGGTGAACGGGGTCAATATTTATAACTAAAACAAATCCCACATTTGGGCGAAAGGTCACGTCAATCAGTGGCGTAGGCAAAAGGGGGGGGGGGAATTATATCCCCTCCCATGGACTCTCAACCCTATATATATATATATATATATATATATATATATATATATATAATATATATATATATATATATATATATATATATATATATATATATATATATATATATGGGATCTTTACCTGTGTTTGGCCCCATCGAGGAGAGCCAGGTAATTAAAATGAAATGCTTTAGGCATGTTCATGCACTAGCAAGTATAGGCCGTGAGAGTCTGGGGGTCTTGACGCAGTTGACGGCCACACCACGGATTAGATTCTACGCTGTGGGCGTGGCAGAATTGGAGTCTTCGGGACTCGGCTATTAACGTGGCCAACATAGCCCTTGATTTACGGCTGGGAAAACCTTCCAGATCGGACAGGGCCGAGTGGACCGTCATGGACGGATCTGACCTAGGGTCAGGCACGAATTAAAATAGTTCCCACGGTGAAGAACGGGGGACGAGTACTTTAGGAGGGTAGACAGCAGACTAGGGGGACACTTTCGATACACACTCACGAGACGCTCGGAGACGGACGGACTCGTCTCGGATAGCTAGGTCTAGAGGAGACAGACATGGGTCGTCTCTGTGAGCTAGTGGAAAGCCACGACATGTATTAAACCTAGGCTAGGCTTGACAGTTAGGGACAAGTAGGGCAGTCGAATTAAGGACTTTAGTTGTTGTAGATAGTTGTGTACTTTTCCTATTGTGTTCCACGTGGTGGCGGGTTAATGTTAGGTGTTGTATTTTGTGGCAATAAATAGAGATCACTGAAGTTGGCATTTATTTATTTTTATTTTCTTCTTCTTGTTTACGATTCCCTGACTAATTCGAAAGGATTAGAGAAGGGAGTCGTAACAATATATATATAATATATATATATATATATATATATATATATATATATATATATATATATATATATATATACATATATATATATATATACATATATATATATATATATATATATATATATATATATATATATATATATATATATATATATATATATATGATTTTATACATATGGAAAAATATTTGAACCCCTCCCATGACCAATTCCTGACTACGCCACTGACGTCAATATTTCCACAAGAATCGAACTGAGTTTTCTAGTTTGGGCACTAAAGTATGAATGCCAATTACTTTAATTATAGTGTGTACATAGTAATTTATATAATTAAAAAAGGAGTAGATAATAGATAATTAGCCTCGTGGTATGCCTTGGGCGACCTAGTTTAGAAATGTTAAAGTTCTCCTTTCAGCAATAAACCGTGAAATGAAGTAGAGGGGGTATGAAGGGGCGGTGTACTCAGCACTATGTCCAGCTCCATTTACTTTTCCTAACGTGGAAAGTTCCATACGTTTTAGTGCGGATATTCTCAAACTTAAAGCCTGGCCTACTGTTTCTTCCAGGCATCTCCGAAGAAAGTCTACCGCCCACCCCTCCCCCCCCCCCGATCGAGATGGGATTTATATAGTAATCATACTTTTACTAGTGTCCGCCCCCCCCCCCCCCGGAGAAAAAAAGTCTGGAAGAAACACTGCTGATCCATCGCCCGTGAAGTTAAGTGTGTGGGTTAGGATTCAGGCTAATTGGTATTGTATTGATTAATGCTATTATTACTGCCGGTGTTTTCCCAAATAATATATATATATATATATATATATATATATATATATATATATATATATATATATATATATATATATATATATATATATATATATATATACATATATATATATATATAAATAATATATATATATATATATATATATATATATATATATATATATATATATATATATATATATATATTAGAATATATATATATATATATATATATATATATATATTTATATATAAATATATATATATATATATATATATATATATATATATATATATATATATAGTCTTTTCTTTTAAAATGCTCTCCATTCATCAACTGATTAAAATATCAGGTGTTGACACTAAAAACCAGTCAGCAATCAATCACCAAACAATAGGAGGTACGCAGCACTACAATGGAAGACAATGGAGCGAAAGGTGGAGACGTGTAAGCTTGTATTCAGTTTACTGTGTTTGTGGTTTTGTGAAAAATCTTGTAACCTGCTTCTATTGCATTCGTCTCCTATGACAATGCAAGAATATCTATTTTTTTAATCTAATTAGATATTACAGTAGTCATATAAAATGTAATTAATAAATTTTTACAAAACTCAAAATTAACATTTTTTTTATAAGCGGCCAGGATGTAGTCCACGTTACAAACCCGTGGGGGGGGGGGGTATAGCGATGTAAGAAATGCTTCATATGGGGATGGGGCTGAAGAAAATTTGCGCACAATTTGTTCATATTGTGATGGGGGAAATTGTGTGGTTTCGTAGAATTGTGGTTAGTTTAAGGTGTGATATTTGACATCGTTTAAGGTGTGACATTTGACATTTGGGTGGTTCTGATTTTTGTGGCATGTGAAGATGGGTGGAAGTGGTCTAAAATACAGTGACGTCAAGTGTGGATTAGCCATGAAATTCTAAAAGGCGACCAAACAGACAGTACATCCAGTGGCCATTGTAGTTGTACAGTTACGCCGCTGTAGGGCTCTAGTCGTGAGAGGACTTGTCTGTAACGTCAACAGCTGCTGTAGGGCTCTAGTCGTGAGAGGACTTGTCTGTAACGTCAACAGCTGCTGTAGGGCTCTAGTCGTGAGGGGACTTGCCTGTAACGTCATCAGCTACTGTAGGGCTCTAGTCGTGAGGGGACTTGTCTGTAACGTCAACAGCTGCTGTAGGGCTCTAGTCGTGAGGGGACTTGTCTGTAACGTCAACAGCTGCTGTAGGGCTCTAGTCGTGAGAGGACTTGTCTGTAACGTCAACAGCTGCTGTAGGGCTCTAGTCGTGAGGGGACTTGCCTGTAACGTCATCAGCTACTGTAGGGCTCTAGTCGTGAGGGGACTTGTCTGTAACGTCAACAGCTGCTGTAGGGCTCTAGTCGTGAGGGGACTTGTCTGTAACGTCAACAGCTGCTGTAGGGCTCTAGTCGTGAGGGGACTTGTCTGTAACGTCAACAGCTGCTGTAGGGCTCTAGTCGTGAGGGGACTTGTCTGTAACGTCAACAGCTGCCGTAGGGCTCTAGTCATGAGGGGACTTGTCTGTAACGTCAACAGCTGCTGTAGGGCTCTAGTCGTGAGGGGACTTGTCTGTAACGTCAACAGCTGCTGTAGGGCTCTAGTCGTGAGGGGACTTGCCTGTAACGTCATCAGCTACTGTAGGGCTCTAGTCGTGAGGGGACTTGTCTGTAACGTCAACAGCTGCTGTAGGGCTCTAGTCGTGAGGGGACTTGTCTGTAACGTCAACAGCTGCTGTAGGGCTCTAGTCGTGAGGGGACTTGTCTGTAACGTCAACAGCTGCTGTAGGGCTCTAGTCGTGAGGGGACTTGCCTGTAACGTCAACAGCTGCTGTAGGGCTCTAGTCGTGAGGGGACTTGCCTGTAACGTCAACAGCTGCTGTAGGGCTCTAGTCGTGAGGGGACTTGCCTGTAACGTCAACAGCTGCTGTAGGGCTCTAGTCGTGAGGGGACTTGTCTGTAACGTCAACAGCTGCTGTAGGGCTCTAGTCGTGAGGGGACTTGTCTGTAACGTCAACAGCTGCTGTAGGGCTCTAGTCGTGAGGGGACTTGTCTGTAACGTCAACAGCTGCTGTAGGGCTCTAGTCGTGAGGGGACTTGCCTTTAAAATCAAGAGTTCTGTACAATTCAAATGAAAGAGCCTATTGTTAGTGCTACACGTACTCAACTAGTCACTCACACGACAACGGCTGTACAATTCAAATGAAAGAGCCTATTGTTAGTGCTACACGTACTTAACTAGTCACACCTTGGTGTTGCTACTCCACTAACTTGACCACATCCGATGTATACATATTAATGCTGTAGTATTTATTGAGGTCCCACTTTCAAACAACCTTTTTTTTACTTTCTCGTATATACGAAGTATAGAGAAAGTCTTGTAATCGTGCAAAAAAAAAATCGAGATTTTTACAAATCTCGACGTTTTACACTTACACCTCACTGATACGGAAAAACATAATTTTGCAATCTTGTCCGTATGTCTGTGTGTCTGTCTGTGTGTCTGTGTGTCTGTCTGTCCGTGTGTAAACACGATAACTTGAGTACCGTTACAGCTAGGTTGATGAAATTTCATATATAAGTATTTTATCAAAATCGTAGATCCGTATCAACTTTTGAGCGATTTCCGATAACCGGAAGTGGTACTTTTTCTACTTTGAATTTTTCAAAAGCCTATAACTTGAGTACTATTTCAGATAGATAAATGAAATTTCACATGTAAGTAAAAGATCTTATTCTCTACCTTCTGTTAAATTTTGAGTAATTTCCGTTGACTGGAAGTAGTAATTTACACTACTTCCGATTTCTCAAAAAACTAATGTAAATTTTAAAAGTACTAATAATATTGCGCACTATTATGCGCTTTTTTATTTGCGTTCACTTGGTGTGCAATTAATTTGTCTACGAGATTTTATTCTATTTTTAAAACTTTAAGTATTTAAAATGGATTAAAAATCATGTCTATAGCCCGAGTTTCCATCCCCTGTTATTTTATATAAGAATATTCGAGAAAGTTTAGGGGAGATCACTCCCGGTTTATTTAAAACATGTTATCTCGGAATGTTTGTTTTGTGTACATAAGCTAATAGCATTAAAATCTTCCATTACTAAAGCTAACAGAGGTATAAAAAAAATAAGTTGAAAGGTGCATCAGTTATTGAAGGATAAAATTCCACCATCTTACAGT